AGTATTTCTATACATCCATATTAATGTGTAAGTCATCACGCTTCCCACTTGGCATGGTGTTGAGTTTCAAATTCTTCTAGAGATTAATTGCAGGATATGATACTAGCTACCCCGGCCGTTTTATTAATATATATTCATCTAGTTCTATTTCTAAGATATTTTCAGTATGTTTCATACAGATTTAAAAAAATTTTAAATTGTATTAACTGTCTATTAAAATATAATTATTTTTAAACTTTACTCTTATTTAATATGCATACATTTTTAAAAAAAAATAAGTATTTACATTATAATAAATGAAAGACAAAACAATATATTCATATTAAAACTTTAAATGATATGACTCAAATATGATCAAAAAATTTCTTTCCTCGACCATATAAATAAGATCAAAGAAGTACATTCACTGCTGATGGTGGAAAGTTTGGCATCATGTGATCATTTTATTTTATTTTTTCCTTGGGTGAGATAATCATATATCCTGTGTGCGAGCTGTGTCAAATCCTTTCAAGATCAGGCTTATAAACTAGTGGCTAGTTAATTAAGTGCTTCGGGTTATTGGTTGCTTATTATTATTCATGTTAAGTTGCCGGAAACCTTGTGAGTGCATAGGAATGATATGCTGCCGCTGCTGCTGCTGTAAAATGGACAAACAGTTGACCCAAATTTTCCTTCAGATGATTTTGTGTGCAAGGGTTGACGAGTGTGAAATGAAATGTAGAAGCCAGAGTTGAAAATATGGGAAGGCATGTTACTAGTTTCCACGTTTGCTGCATCGTAAAATTGACATTTCGTGAGGCCAATTAATTATTGGCAGACTGAGCACAAAAAAGTGCGGACAGAAAGTCGTTTAGAATGATAAAAGTCTCCTTCAGAACGGGCCTCAACTTACGCTGAAAAGTAATGAAGCAAATACGAACTTTTCCAGAAGTTTAATACCATGTTGGGATGGAGAGAAAATAAAAGAAGAAGAAAAACTATAAAAGAAAATAAGGGAGAATTGATTTTTTTTTTGTTTGTATGAGAGAAGAAAAGTGGGGAAAAAAAAATTAGAGAGAAAATAAAGTGGATCCCACAGCCTATTTTCTCCCAACTTTTCTCTATATATATGGATAGAAAACGAGAAGAAAATATAGTTTTCCTCTCTATCCTTATATATTTTTTTAGCAAAATAATATCTATTTATTTATTTTTAATTTTTTCACTTTGTTTATTATTATCAAGTATTTCTTTTGTGTTTGCTTGATTGAAAAATAAAATAAAAATCCTTCTAAAATGAACTGAAAGGAAAAACAAGTAGAGTTGTTTGTTTTGGTTTTTTTCTTTAGCATTACATTACACAAAATTTTTTTCTTTTTTTTTGTACAAAATTATTTGATATTAAAATAATAACATGACAATAATCTTTATCAAATAATTTGATTTTAAATTATATGATTATGTTAATGTAAATATGGTTTTTCATTATTATATTTAATTGATTTTAATGAAGATATATTTTGATACAACGTAAAAGATTTTTAGTCATTCATATATCTACTCATGTTTTTCCTTTCTGTTTGTTCTTATCTATCCAAATATGAATGTGATAATATTTTCTCTCCAATTTCTCTTCTTCATTTTTTTCTCTTCTCATTTTTTTTCTTTTAACTTTCTTCCCATCCAAATAGAGGGTAAGCGTCGGTCATAAGCATGATCGGAATCCACTGTCTTTCTCAGCTATCTCCGCGGTAGGGAGGACTGGATAATAGTTTTACCATTTGACTAATTCATGGAGGCTAATTAAGGAAGTTATATTTATATTTATTGTTTTCTTTTAAATTAATTTACCTTACTTATAAATTGGTATATAATCTAATAATACGTATAAGTATTTTTAAAGAAATTATATAACACATATCATAATTAAGTAATTCAGTCATTTCATTAATCTTTTCAAAGAAGTCAATTAAGTCTTGTATTAAAAATCAAAAGTAGTATAAAATCTAGTTAGAAAATAGATTTAGTTTTAATTTAAATACAAAATCTCAATTTATTTTATTTCTCAAATTTATAATTCTTTCTTAAGATATTTCTATTGGTTATAAAAAGTTCTCATGAAAAGATAGTTTCAATACACAAATTAAAGAGGATAGTTTATGATAATTACTATTACAAATAACTGAGTTAACTAATTTTTAAAATTTTTTCAACCAAATTCATTTTTTATTAATTCTTTCAGTAGGAGCATAACAGTACACTGGGAAAAAATTGATGATGTTGGTTCAAGAAGAGCGATGCTAATTGATGCCGCCAGCAAAGTCGCAGTTATAAATCTATTTTTTTTTAATGATTTGGGATTCAAATTGTGTTTTGATCCAGCACGTGGATATATACTACTTCTGGTCTTTAATATAAAAACTAATGAATTAATTTAAGTAAATTAAAAAAAGTTAGTTAAGTTAGTTGTTTATAATAAATATATATTATGTTTTCTAGAATATTCTTACTAATCAAGTGTATTAGGTAGAACTATTATTATTATAAGTACTACCTAAAAAAAGAACAAATATGAGAATCAAAGTAAATTAAAGTTTATATTTAATATCAAAATAAAAATTAAAAAGTTCTCCAAAGATGTTACCTCCGGTCCTAATTATAAGAGTTAGTTGACTAATTTGAGAATATTAAGAAAAGAAGTTAAATTAGTTATTTATAATAAATAGGTATTGTCTTTCCTAAAATATCTTTATTAATCAAGTGTATTAGCTAGAATTATTATTGTTAGAAGGACTACTTTCAGAAAAAAATGTAGAAATATGAGAGACAAAGTAAATTAAGCTCTTATATTTAGAAATAAAATAAAAATTAAATAAAATCTTATATTAAAGAGTGGAGGTGGTAGTATTATTTTGGGTTGTTGTTAGAACTCGCGGTTATAAATCTGTTCGAACACTTTGTTTTAATCCAACTACGGTAATAAGATGGCACGTCACATAATCAATCTGATCAAACTAACTGTCAAAATTAACTACGACAATAGTTATGATAAATGGTATATTTGGATCGGTGTTGGGCAAAACTGACTTCTAACCCAATTAACTTTTGTAATTGAAATTTGAGTAAAAGTCAGTTAGTGTAATGCAATTTATGTTTGGATAGGTGTTTTTAAAAAGTCAGTTGAAAAAATTAAAAATTGTTTGGATGATTAATAGAAAAGTTAGTTTAGTTGTAAAATGACTGAAAAGGACATGGAGTAGTGTTTGAAATTTTATATTTTTAATGTGATAATAGTTTAAAAAAACACGTAAAATTATTATGATAAAATATAAATAGTTTATTTGTCAAATTATAGAATAAAAAATTTGTTACGAAAAAAATTTGAAAATACATTGTAGATAATTAATTAAATATACATAATAGACAATATGAATATAAATTAAAATTTATTTGGTCTCTAATTAAAGTAAATGGAATCATATAACTAATTAGATCGTAAGCTTTGCACAATTTTCCCATAAGTTAGTTAGAAAAATTGATCCAGATAGCGTTGGATAAGTCAGTTAAAAAGTTACTTTTTTCTATAAGTCAGTTAGAAAAGAAGCCCCATCCAAACAATCTTTTAAAAGGATATGAATTTTATTAAATAGTATATATCTAATATTAGATATATATATATATATATATATATATAATTTGACTATTTTTTAAGAAGTAAGGAGATAAAATTATTAAAAATAAAGAAATTTAATTTATTATTAGAAAGAAATTATATATATATAATGTGACCATTTTAAATGAAGTATTAAAAATTAAATTTAAATGAAGTATTAAAAGTGAGCTGAGAGAAAAAAAACATGCAGGTCAGGTTGGTAAAAATTTTAACATCCTAATAAATATATGTAACGGTTTCTCACACCCATCATTGCTCCAAAAAAACCCTGCATTTGAACTTCTACCAGAAGTAGTCCATTTGAGCTGAAGAAGCCAGATTGTGCAGACATGGATCCAAACAAGATGAAACATGCGGTCTGAAAAAGCCCAGTGGAGATGCACGTTGGGCACATTTGGAAGCCCAAACGTGATGCCAAACGAGCCCTAAGTCATTTTACATACAAACTTACTTTTACATTTATTATCCAAACAAGTTTTAACTTCTTAAAACTGACTTTTTTGAAAACCCAATCTAAACATAAATTACATTATCCTTTCTGACTTTTACTCAATCTGACTTCTGTAGAAATCAGATTGAAAAAAAAGTTACTTCTGCCACCGCTATCACAAACACACCCCAAAGTTGGGATAGCGCCGATAGTTGGTCATGGCACGCTGGTTTTGGTTTGATAGCTGTACCCTTATATAATAATAATGCTCTTTCTTTTTCCTTTTTTATTTTCTCATTTTTTAATTTTTAATTTATGAAAAAAAATAGATAAGTTCTCCATATTAAAAATAAAAACGGATTTGGTTAAAAAAATTTTACATTAGTATTTCTAATTTATAAACATTTTTATTCCTTAATGTATTTACTTAATTCTTTTATTATTTCAATTTTTTCAATAATATATTAACTATTTTTCTATAATTTTTAATTTTAATACTTCTCCTAAAATCATCATATTATTTATATATCATATATGTGTGTTTATTATTTAATATAATTAATGTCTTTCAATTATTTTATATTTAAACTTGCTTGTCTATTAATTATCCAATCAAGTTTCAGTTTGTTAACTGACTTCTTTATAAAAATCAATCTAAACATAAATTACATTATATTAATAAACTTTTAACCTAACTTAATTTGCAAAAATCAGATAAAATAAGTCACTTTTCTCACTTCCAATCTAAACATACCCTTAAATACCCATAGTTCTCCGTCATATACTTCCAACACAAATTTTCACTTTATCCCAGTGACAGATCCAAATTTTCCTTCTGCCATTGTGTTTGTTTATGATGTTAATCAATAAATCAAACTATGTTGGATGGCATGTCATGCACTTTCCAACTCCCAAATCTGCTACAATGCAAAAGTGACACTTTGCAAGACCAATTATTATTGGGGGACTCAACTAGAAATATTACAGAAGGAGCGCAAGAATCCATCTGCGGACATTATGGCTATAAATAAAACGGTGCCTGAATAGACCAACCACTTAGACAGAGGCACATGCATTAAAACCTCCAACTTTCAAGCTTACGGAGGCATTACTTCACTAAACGACATCTTGCTGACTGACATTGGTAGTGTGTTGGTCGTAGATTGACCAAGAATGTTTTGATAATCTACACTTTGCACAACAAATGCAGGCGGCGAAGGGGTTGGCAGAGTCATAGGATAATTTTCAAGCATCAGAACTATGGATGACATTGAAGGCCTCTCTGCTGGATCTTCTTGAACACACAGCAGACCAATGTGGATGCATCTCATTACTTCATCTGGAGCACAAGATTCTCTTATTGTGAGATCCAACAATTCCAAGGGTTCCCCATCGTTCCAAAGTTTCCACGCCTGTTTCAAAATATTGTCAGCTATTTGTTATATTGGGATCACCGTATTTATCCCTTTGACAGAAAACAAATGATTAGTTTGAATCACACTAGAGAAAGTAATGTTTTTTGTACTCACATAGCTAAGCATGTTCTCAGCATCCTCCATTTGACAGAAAGAACTATTCTTCTTTCCACTTATAATCTCCATTAGAAGAACACCGAAGCTGAACACATCAGACTTAACAGACAACTCTCCACACACAGCATATTCGGGACATATATAACCACTAAAACATCGAACCATCAAAAGAGAACTGTTAGTGTAGGGAAAATTGCATAGCAATCTGGACTATTAGCAGTTCTTTCTTTGTCTAAGTGAATTTTTCAAGATATTTGAGTAAAGTTGTGAGGATATGGAAATTTGTTCTTACAATGTTCCCACAATGCAATTGGTCTCTTTTTGACTTTGATCAATCGAAAAAATTGTTGCCATACCAAAATCTGAGATTTTTGGATTCATATCACTATCCAATAATATATTTGCAACTTTAAGATCAAGATGTATAATTTTAAGTGTTGCATCTTCATGTAAATATTGAATCCCTTGAGCAATTCCTCTGATAATATCATAACGTTTTGTCCAGTCTAGCTGCCTTTGCATTTCAGGATCTATGCGTTGAAAAATAATTTTGAGAAATGTCAAATAAAAGAAAAGTATATTGACAAAGGGGGGGGGGGAGTGAAGCAAAGCTTCCTTTATTTTAGTCTCAAACATAATGAGCAAAAGTTGGAAGACTAAAATCAAGCATAATAAGTGTGAACTATGCAGAATTGATATAGATGGACCTACCAAAAAGAATGCAATCAAGACTTTTGTTGGACATATATTCATAAACAAGTATCCTCTCTTCTCCATGTACGCAGAAACCTAGAAGTCTCACTAAATATCTATGTTGTAGCCTGGCAAGCACCTCTACTTCATTCTTAAATTCTTCTACACCATGTCCAGATCTTCGGGAGAGCCTCTTCACGGCAATTTCTAGTCCGTTTGCAAGCGTCCCCTGAATTTCAAACATTAAGTCCACATACATATACGGAGTGGCCAAATTATCTTCATGTTAAAAACGAAGAAAGCACACAAACTTGGTACCTTGTAAACCCCTCCAAACCCGCCTTCACCAATCTTGTTAACTACAGAGAACTTGTTCGTGGCTGCTTCAATTGTACTGAAATCATATTGCAGCGAATCCACATTGCCGATGTCAAATGCAGCTACACAACCAAATGTTGTGTGGGGATGATGAGATGAAGTGAAAATAGAAGAGCGAGCACATATGAACCAAACAAAGCAAAAGGTCTGGTATGCTGATACTATGGACATCCTTACATTTTCCTTCAGTGCATGATGAGATGAAGTGAAAACAGAAGAGTAAGCAGATATGAACCAAACAAAGCAAAAGGTTTGGTATGCTGATACTATGGACATCCTTACATTTTCCTTCGGGAACAGAGTCGTACTTCTTCATTGTTCGTTTACTGAGGCAATAGATGCCGACTATAAACATCAGGACAACCACAGAAGTTGGAACCACAATCGCAACAATCGTCCCCGATGAGATTCCACCTTTTCCTGGATCATCCCAAGAACAGAGAAAGCAAGTATATTTAATATGGTAAATTCGTGGCAATAATTGAGCAACCAAATTTACTTCATTCATGTTCCTCAGTCAAGCTTTTCTTGTATTTGTTGTTTTAGTCCACTTAGCTCTTTCTCCACAATTTTGAACCCTCCCCTGCTTTTATTTCACTCTCTGTTCAGTGGGTTTCCCCCCAAGGTTTCGCTTTTAAACTCTCAATTGTCGCAAACTAATACCCAAATCACCAAGGTGAGAGCTTTACCTTGGGAACCAGTAGTATTTGTAGGAGGAACACTTGCAGCTTCCGACTGATAGAAAGGGCGCAACTCATAGCGAACATTACAGCTCGGGTACAGCACTCTTCCTCCTTGCTTCCCACTACAACACCACTGAAGCTCCCCAATCACACCACGGAGGCAACTTCTGCAATCTGACGGCGAAAGGTCCGGCGTGCACTGTGCTAGACAATACACAGTTTGAAACCCTGAGAAATTCGCTGATCCGGTCGCATACTTCTTTTTCCCAACAGCAGGTTTAGCTGCCTCATCTGCCGTCGTGTTCACAGTATCGTACAATGTTCTCATGAAGCTTGCCTGGTTTGAGACACTTCCGGCGTCAAAGAGGCTGAGTCTTGGCCTCGTGTCAACGGTGGAGAAGAAGAAACGGTTAGAATAGCGAAGCAAGCACTCGTTGTACCAGATTATTGCCTCCTTCGAAACTCGGCACTCAGAAGATAATCGTTGGGTTGCGTTAACGACGCACTGCTGGCACATCGAGAGGTTGACGTCACCCCGACACATGAAGAGGCCGTGGACGGTGTCGCCGCCACCGACAACGGTGGCGTTGTAGAAGTCCGTTTTGGCGAAAGCTAAGGAAGAGAAGAGCGTCGTTCGGTCCGATTGAAAAGCACTGTTGGCGGCGAAGGTTATGTTGGGAGAGCAATTGTGGTGAAGATAAGTAACCTGTGCTCCATTTGTAGGAGAAAAAAGGTGGCTAATAAGCAAGAGCGAGACAATTTTGAGGGAAGCGATGACCATGGACGTAAAGTAGTTGATGCAGTTCTTATGATGTGTGTCTCAATTGCTAGAAGGGGAGAATCACGGGGAAGACGATGTTGTAGTGGCAGGGGATGTGATCGGTGATGGAGGTCGACGCACGTCAACCAAAATTTGTTTGAGACAAAAGGACAAAAAAAAAAGAAGAAAATTACCATCTAGTGGCCCAGAAAAAAATAATTATTAAAAATTCATAATAACAGCCTAAACAGTTTGTAATGATAAATTTTAATATAAAAAATAACAATATTTACAATTTATTTTGTAATTATTTTTTTATTAGGATCTTATTATAAATCTTTTAAAAAAAGTCACTTTTTTATTTCTATAACTGATTTATGAAAAATAAACAACTAGTTAAAATTAGTTGAAAATAATAAACATATTAGAAATATTTTTTTATTTTTAAATATGTTTTTATAATAAATAAAAAATATGTGAAAAATTTGATAAGAAAAAGTATGATAAATAGAAATGAATAAACAGTGAAGAGTAAAATTAAAAAAAAAGCATTAATACTAAGAGAAATTGAAATTGGAGCTTCCTGGTCCCACCAAAATGAGGAAAAATCTCAGTGCATAAAGAAAATAATAATTGGTTTGCAGTTGAAGTCCACTTTGACGGCTGAAGAGCGTTATCATAGATGGATTATAACTTGCTAGCACTATTAGTGTCTCTTCCTTTTTTTTTTTGGGGGGAGGGGTTTTCCCTCGTTAGGGATCACAATATACAAGCATTTTCAAATCCTTCTAGAATCTGTGATAAACTAGTTATCGGAACTTCAGCGACCGGTTATCAGAGTTTCGGTGACATGTCACTGGAACTCTGGTAGCTTGCCACTGGCAGGGTCACTAGCGTCGAAGCTCCAACGACTGGAAGTGTTGAGGTAACAGTATTTAATTAAAAAAATAGTTAAAAAATCATAAAAGGTATTTGTGTAATTTTATAAGATTTAAAAATTTTAAAATGATAGCTGTGGTCTGAATTGGGATTTCAAAATTTACTTACCCTCATTTATCATTTAGTATTTTTGAGGTAATTTTATTGTTCTTTTTCCAAAATGAAACGCGATTGAAAAGGGGGAAATTATTACATACTCTATTGAAGTATTAAATCACAAATATACCAAAAAAAAATTCTTACTCATTTGTTTCATTTAAATTATTTTTATTGGAAAAAATAGAAATAAAATCAAATGGAACGCTAAAAATACCTTCTTTTTCTTTCTTTCTTTTTTGTTTGCCAACGGAACTCTATTACCTAAATATTTTAATTGCCCACGACCCTTAAGCTGTACTGTGAGCTTCCCACTAGATCCTAGTTATCCTCCAAAAGTAAGGACACATTTCTATTGCTACTTTTGATCCGTAATATATATATATATATATATATATATATATAAAAGAGTTAGTTAAGTAATTTGAGTAGATTAAATTAGTTATTTGTAATAAATATTTGTTGTCTTTCTTAAAATATCCTTGTTAATTATGTATATTAATTAAAATTATTATTTGATGAAACTTTTGATACATGCAACTATTATGAGGACTATCTTAAAAAAAATATTAAAGAAAAAATGAATTGAGATATTATATTTTAGGTGAAATTGAAAATCAAACTAATTATATTAAAAAGGGAGCATATTTCAATGAGTTAGATATCAATTGGTTTGCTGTTGAGGTCCATTTTGACGGCGAAGAGAGAATGCTCGACATAGCAGGATTATGATAGCACATTGGTTTAATTAATCAGTTCATTCTTTGAAAGCTGTTTATCATCTCATCTTCCAAGTATGGGCACCAACAATATAAGAGACCAAACCCCTTCGCTTTTTTCTTTTCCTTCGCGGTGGTCAACTATGTTAACATTTATATTCAAAACTCCACGTATATACTCCTTCCTCTAGTCTAAAATACAAGAAGTCTTTTTAGAAGAAAGTTTTGATCCAAAATATAAAAAGTTGACAAAATCATTTTTTTACTTTCACCTCTTATTATAGGGAGGAGAAAGAGTTTTAAATGCAGGAAAAAAAATTTCCAATCACAATTTTTAATAAGGGTGAAATAGATAATTTCTATCATTTTAAAGCATATTTAATGACTTAACTAATATTCGTTAATTTTTAAGAAAACTTAATTAATGTTTTACATTATACATAAGAGGGAGTATGCGTATGTGTGTATAGTTGAGTCATGGCGTTTCCCACCGGACACACTAGTCATATTAGTGCAATGAACAATTAAGAGATGGTTTGGTTGGCCCTTTGGAGTCATATTTGATGGCTCGAGATGATAACCAACAATGTGGAGGATAATGCTATGTGGCACTTCGTTATTATTGACCAGTAATAATCACTATATATATATATATATATGGATACTTTCCCTACTCATAGTCTAAAGCTTATCACCATTTTATTATTTTATTCTTTAATTTCTCTCGGGCCCTAGACAATGATGCAGCAAGCCCAATAATCCCAGTCAAATCGTTCTAGAATCCAAAAAATTAAAAAGGAAAAAAAGAAGAAGGAAGAATCAGTCAAACACAAGGATGCACGTAGTACAGGCTGTTTGGGTCAATGACAAGAAAAGAAGATTCAGAAGAAGGGACCATGAAAAAACATATTGGAAAAGGATAAGGTTTGAAAGGAAGAGGAAAAGAAGGTTGAAGAAGAAAGCAAGAAAAAGAAAAGAAAAGAAAAACCAAAGACAGGCGGTGAGAAGAGAATCAGAGAGAGAATGATGGAGTGACTCGATCGTGATACCACGTGACTTGGAGTGAGAAAAGAAAAAGTGGGAAGAAATGACTTGACTTTCATTAATGACATATGATGGTATGTATACATACCAGCTATAACTTAATAACAAACTTTACAATTCAAACTTAATAGAATGTTAATCATGTTAATCTCTGTCCTACACTTGTCCGATGTAACACGCCCAATAATCCCTGTAAAATCGTTCTAGAATCAGGCTAATAATTGGCAAAAAATTATTAAAAAGAAAAAAAGAAGAAGAATCAGGCTAATAATGTAAACCAGGGGCTAATTAAGGGCTTTACTACTGGTTTATTGTTTATTAGTGTAGCAGAAAAGCTTGTGAACGTACAGAAATTATAACAGCTTTGCTGCTGCTCTCGCAAATTGACAAAAGTTAACTCAAAAATATTTTTCCTTCTCATGTTTTTGTGCTCTTAATTTTAACGTGTACTATTCGATGAAAATTAAAAAGCAGAGTTTATTTAAAACATACATATAGGACGTTACGTTACATTGCCCTCATCTGTTGCATTGCGAAATGCACATTTTAATTAAGATGCCAGTGACTATGTAGGTGGTGAACTTATAATACAAAATGGTACGAAGCGAATTAAGAAAGTCATGTCGATCCAGAGCCTTATTGATATAAAATATGAGTACATTTTTGCCTGAATGAATGACCCGTCATTCAAACGGAAAAATAAGCAAACTACTACCTCAAATAGACACTTAAGAATTATAGATCTCTCCAACTTTCAAGCTTATATGGAGGAATATCACTTCACTGACTTCTAAGCTGGTGGAATTGCTGAATCTTGTGTTTGATAGAATGGGTACAGTTCATAGCGAACATTACAGCTAGGGTATAGAACCCTTCCACCTTGCTTGCCATCGCAACACCAGTTAAGGTCCCCAATCACGCCGCTCAGGCACATTCTGCAATCTTCCGGCGAAAGGTCCGGCGTGCAGTGGGCTAGACAATACAGAGTTTGAAACCCCGAAATAAACGCTTCCTTCGTCGCATACTTCTTTTTACCCAAGGCAGGTTTTGCTGCCAAATCTGCCGTCTCGTTCATAGTAGTGAACAATAACCTCATGAAGCTTGCAGGGTTGGCGATATTTCCAGTGTTCAAGAGGCCGAGTCTTGGCCTTGTGTCGACGGTGGAGAAGGAGGTGTTGGAATAGCGAAGCGTGCACTCGTCGTACCAGATTATGGCCTCCTTCGAGAACTGGCAATCTGAAGTCAATCTTTTGGTTGCCTCGACCACGCATTGGTGGCACACCTCGAGGGTGACGTCGCCGCGGCACATGAAGAGGCCATATGCAGTTTCGCCTCCGCCAGCAACGGTGGTGTTGTAGAAGTCAGTGTTGGCGGTGTTGTCGGAAGCTAAGGAAGAGAGGAGGGTGGTGAGGTCGGCTTGGAAGGCACTATTGGCAGGGAAGGTTTTGTCGGAAGAGCACGCATGGGAAAGAAAAGTAGGTTGGGATTCATCATCAGAGGTTGCAGAAGAGAGGAAGGTGATAAAGAACAAGAGTGGGATAATCTTGTAGGAAGCCATTATCACCATTGAAGCCATTAGGTCTGATCAGTTTAATGGGGACTATAAAGGCAAGCTAAGATCTTTATTTATAATAATAAGATTGATTATTGCGGAAAGCTCGAAGGCCACCGTGGCAGTCAACATTTGCGGCTTCTAGAAGCCTTTTCATTATTTAGAAATGGCTGCCGTCGCTGGCTTTAGAAGGAAGAGAAGAGAGAAGGAGGTTGAGGTTGGTTTCAAAGGTGGTTTTTGGTTTATAAGTAATGGAATCTGTGCAAGCATGAGCACTGTAAATTGGATCGGCTTCCGTTAGAAAGATTAGGAAGCTAAAGGAGAGGAATAAAACAACGTACTTTGAGTTGGAACTAGGCATCATGATGATGTATTCGGTTCTAGTTGTTCACTTCTGCAACTTAGCAATTATGTTTCGATAAATTTTATTGAACCAAACACACAAAATTTCACTTAAAAAAAAGGAAACAAAGAATCAATTGGAGCTTCCTGGTCCCACCAAAATGACAAAAAATCTCGGTGCATATAGAAAATAAAAATTGGTTTGCAGGTGAAGTCCATTTTGATGGCTGAAAAGTTAATGTTGTTGTGGTTGAATTATATTCCTCCAATCTTAAATATAAGACTTATTTTGTAGTATAATAAATTACACTATAAAATAGATATTATATTTGGAACTGAACGAGTAACTTGTTATCATTATTATTTAATTCTTTGAAAGTTCTTCATCATCTTCAAAGATGGGCACCAGTGTCCGATAAAATCCCATTCCTCTTTTTTTCTCCCTTCGTTATGGATCACAATGTATAACTAATTTCAAATCCTTCTAGAATATGCTGATAAATTATTTCTATGCATCCATATTAATTGTGTGAGTCATCACGCTTCCCACTTGGCATGGTGTTGAGTTTCAAATTCTTCTAGAGATTAATTGCAGGACATGATACTAGCTACCCCGGCCGTTTTATTAATATATATTCATCTAGTTCTATTTATAATACATTTTCAGTATGTTTCGTATAGATTAAAAAAATTTTAAATTATATTAACTGTCCATTAAAATATAACAACTTTTAAACTTGATCCTTATTTGATATGCACTTTTTTTTTTTTAAAAAAAAAGGTATCTACACTATAATAAATGAAAGACAAAACAATATATTCGTATTAAAACTTTAAATGATATGACTCATAAATACGATCAAAAAATTTCTTTTCTCTGCCATATAAATAAGATCAAAGGAGTACATTCACTGGTGATGGTGGAAAGTTTGACATCATGTGATCATTTTATTTTATTTTTTCCTTGGGTGAGATAATGATATATCCTGTGTGCGAGCTGTGTCAAATCCTTTCAAGATCAGGCTTATAAACTAGTGGCTGGTTAATTAAGTGCTTCGGGGTATTGGTTGCTTATTATTATTCATGTTAAGTTGCCGGAAACCTTGTGAGTGCATAGGAATGATATGCTGCTGCTGCGGCAAAATGGACAAACAGTTGACCCAAATTTTCCTTCAGATGATTTTGTGTGCAAGGGTTGACGAGTGTGAAATGAATGTAGAAGCCAGAGTTGAAAATGTGGGAAGGCGTGTTACTAGTTTCCACGTTTGCTGCATTGTAAAATTGACATTTCGTGAGGCCAATTAACTATTGGCAGACTGAGCACAAAAAGGTGGGGACAGAAAGTCGTTTAGAATGGAAAAAGTCTGCTTCAGAATGGGCCTCAACTTAAGCTGAAAAGTAAGCAAGCAAATACGCACTTTTCCAGGAGTTTAACACCAAGAAAATGAGGAAGAAAGAAAAACTAAGAAAGAAACTAGAAAGAGGAGTGTTTTTTTTTCTATTTGGATGAGAGAAAAAAAAGTGAGAGGAAAGAAAAGTTGGGGAGAAAATAAAGTGGGTCTCACAATCCATTTTTCTCTCAATTTTTCTGTCTTTATATATGGAAGAAAAATGAGAAGAAAATATATTTTATCTCTTTACCCTTACATATGTTTTTTTAGCAAAATAATATCTTTTTATTTTTTATTTTTTCACTTTATTTATTATTATCAAGTTTTTCTTCTGTGTTTGTTTGATTGAAAAATAAAATAATTAAAATTACAGAAATCCTTCTAAAATGAACTGAAAGGAAAAACAAGTAGAATTATTATTTTAGTTTTTTTTAGCATTACATTACACAAAATATTTTTTTCTTTTTTTACAAAATTATTTGATATTAAAATATAATAACATGACAATATATCTTTATCAAATAATTTGATTTTAAATTATATGATTATATTAATGTAAATATGGTTTTTCATTATTATATTTAATTTGATTTTAATGAAGATATATTTTAATGTAACAGAAAGGATAGTTTAGTCATTCATATATTTACTCATATTCTTTCTTTTCTGTTTTCTCTTATCCATCCAAATATGAAAGGTTATAATATTTTCTCTCTAATTTTCTTTTCTTTTTATTTTTTCTCTTCTTATTTTTTTTCCTTTCAACTTTTTTCCCCATCCAAATAGAAGGTAAGCGTCGGTCAAAAGCATGATCGGAATTCAGCGTCTTTCTCACCTATCTCTGCGGTAAGGAGGACTGAATAATAGTTTTACCATTTGACTAATTCATGGAGGTTAATTAAGGAAGTTATATTTATATTTATTGTTTTCTTTTAAATTAATTTATCTTACTTATAAATTGATATATAATTTAATAATACATGTAAGTATTTTTTTAAAAATTATATAACACATATCATAATTAAGTAATTTAGTCATTTCATTAATCTTTTCAAAGTAATCGATTAAGTCTTGCATTAAAAATCAAAAGTAGTATAAAATCTAGTCAGAAAATAGATCTAGTTTTAAATATAAAATCTCAATTTATTTTATTTCTCAAATTTATAATTCTTTCTCAAGATATTTCTATTGGTTGTAAAAGATTCTCATGAAAAGATAGTTTCAATACACAGATTAAAGAGGATAGTTTATGATAAATTACTAACACAAATAACTAAGTTAACTAATTTTTTACATTTTTTCAACCGAATTCATTTTTTATTAATTCTTTCAGTAGGAGCATAACACTGGGAAAAGATTGAGGATGCTGGTTCAAGAAGAGCGATGCTAATTGATGCCGCCAGTAAAGTCGCAGCTATAAATCTCTCTCTCTCTCTCTTTTTTTAATGATTTGGGATTCAAATTGTTTTGATCCAAGACGTCGATTTATACTACTTCTGGTTTTTAATATAAAAACTAATTAATTAATTTGAATAAATTAAAAAAACTTAGTTAAGTTAGTTGTTTATAATAAACATGTGTTATGTTCTCTAAAATATTCTTACTAATCAAGTATATTAGTTAGAACTATTATTCTTATAAGTATTGCCTAAAAAAAAGATAAATATGAGAAATAAAATAAATTAAAATCTTATATTTAATATCAAAATAAAAATTAAATAAGTTCTTCAAAGATGTTACCTCCGATTCTAGTTATAAGAGTTAGTTGACTAAATTGACGATATTAAAAAAAGAAGTTAAATTAGTTATTTATAATAAATAGGTATTGTCTTTCTTAAAATATCCTTACTAATCAAGTGTATTAGTTAGAATTACTATTGCTAGAACAATTACCTTCAGAAAAAATAGATAAATATGAAAGATAAAGTGGATTGAACTCTTATATTTAGAAACAAAATAAAAATTAAATAAAACTTTATACTTCTCCGATCCTTATTATAAGACCCTATTTGACTTTTTATTTGGTTCTAATTATAAGACCCCAATCCATTTTGTCTCTTATATTTATGCATTTTTTCCAAGATAATCCTTCTAATAATGATAGTTTTAGCCAATATACTTAATTAGCAAGGATATTTTAGGAATGACAACACTTATTTATTATAAATAACCAACTTAACTTACTTCCTTAATCTCCTCAAATAAATTAATTGGGTCTTATAATTAGAACCGGAGGAGTATTAAAGAGCAGGGCTAGTTGTATTATTTTCGGGTGTTGTTAGAACCCGCGGTTATAAATCTGTTCGTTTTAATCCAACTACGGTAATAAGATGGCACGTCACATAATCAATCTGATCAAACTAACTGTCAAAATTAATTAGGACAATAGTTATGATAAAACTGATATGTCTTTTTTTGGTCAACATTGAAACTTTGAAAACTTTTAGGGCGTTGAGAAGAAGAAAACGCACATTTTTGAAAAATCCACGTTAGCTCATTTGATGTCAAAATTTCACGTTTGGGGAAAGTGTTGATGCAAAATAACTTTCACCGCAAAAGTTACTTTTAATTAACTCAGCTACTTTTCATTACGCTGAGAGGTGGTCACGGCACGTTGGTTTTGATTTGATAGCTGTACCCTTATATAATAATAATGCTCTATCTTTTTCCTTTTTATTTTCTCATTTCTTTTAATTTTTAATTTATGAAAAATAATATATAAGTTCTCCATATTAAAAAATATATATGGATTTGGTTAAAAAAATTTACATTAGTATTTCTAATTTATATACATTTTAAATGTATTTACTTAATTCTTTTATTATTTTCAATTTTTTCAATAATATATTAACTATTTTTCTATAATTTTTAATTTAAATACTTCTCCTAAAATCATCACATTATTTATATATCATATTTACGTGTGTTTATTATTTAATATAATTAATATCTTTTTCAGTTATTTTATATCTAAACTTGCTTGTCCGTTAATTATCCAATCAAGTTTCACTTTGTTAACTGACTTCTTTATAAAAAATCAATCTAAACATAAATTACATTATATTAATAAATTTTTAACCTAACTTATATTTGCAAAAATCAGATAAAATAAAAACTACTTTTCTCACTTCTAATCTAAACACACCCTTAAATACCCATAGTTCTCCATCATATACTTCCAACACAAATTTTCACTTTATCCCAGTGACAGATCCAAATTTTCCTTCTGCCATTTGTGTTTGTTTATGATGTTAATCAATAAATCAAACTATGTTGGATGGCATGTCATGCACTTTCCAACTTCCAAATCTGCTACAATGCAAAAGTGACACTTTGCAAGACCAATTATTATTGGGGGAACTCAACTAGAAATATTACAGAAGGAGCGCAAGAATTCATCTGCGGACATTATGGCTATAAATAAAACGGTGCCTGAATAGACCAACCACTTAGACAGAGGCACATGCATTAAAACCTCCAACTTTCAAGCTTACCGAGGCATTACTTCACTAAACGACATCTCGTTGACTGACATTGGTAGTGTGTTGGTCGTAGATTGACCAAGAACGTTTCGACAAGCTCCACTTCGCAAAACAGGTGGAGGCAGCGAAGGGGTTGGCAGAGTCATAGGATAATTTTCAAGCATCAGAACTATGGATGACATTGAAGGCCTCTCTGCTGGATCTTCTTGAACACACAGCAGACCAATGTGGATGCATCTCATTACTTCATCTGGAGCACAGGATTCTCTTATTGTGAGGTCCAACAATTCCAAGGGTTCCCCATACTTCCAAAGTTTCCACGCCTGTTTCGAAATAATTGTCAGCTATTTGTTATATTAGGATCACCGTATTTATCCTTTCGACAGAAAACAAATGATTAGTTTGAATCACACTAGAGAGAGTAGTGTTTTATGTACTCACATAGTTAAGCATGTTCTCAGCATCCTCTGTTTGACAGAAAAGACTATTCTTCTTTCCACTTATAATCTCCATTAGAAGGACGCCGAAGCTGAACACACCAGACTTAACAGACAACTCTCCATGAATATAATATTTGGGACACATATAACCACTAAAACATCGAACCATCAAAAGAGAACTGTTAGTGTAGGGAAAATTGCATAGCAATCTGGACTGTTGGCAGTTCTTTCTTTGTCTAAGTGAATTTTTCAAGATATTTGAGTAAAGTTGTGAGGATATGGAAATTTGTTCTTACTATGTTCCCACAATGCGATCGGTCTTTTCTTGAGTTTGATCAATCGAGAAAATTGTTGCCATGCCAAAATCTGAGATTTTTGGATTCATATCACTATCCAATAATATATTTGCAACTTTAAGATCAAGATGTATAATTTTAAGTGTTGCATCTTCATGTAAATATTGAATCCCTTGAGCAATTCCTCTGATAATATCATAACGTTTTGTCCAGTCTAGCTGCCTTTGCATTTCAGGATCTATGCATTGAACAATAATTTTCAGAAATGTCAAATAAAAGAAAAGTAATTTGACAAAAGGGGAAAAAAAAGAAAAGCGAAGCAAAGCTTCCTTTATTTTAGTCTCAAACATAATGAGCAAAAGTTGGAAGACTAAAATCAAGCATAATAAGTGTGAACTATGCAGAATTGATGTAGATGGACCTACCAAAAAGAATGCAATCGAGACTTTTGTTGGACATATATTCATAAACAAGTATACTCTCTTCTCCATGTACGCAGAAACCTAGAAGTCTCACTAAATTTCCATGTTGTAGCCTGGCAAGCACCTCTACTTCATTCTTAAATTCTTCTACACCTTGTCGACATCTTCGGGAGAGTCTCTTCACAGCAATTTCTAGTCCATTTGCAAGCGTCCCCTGAATTTCAAACATCAAGTCCACATACATATACGGAGCGGCCAAATTTCCTTCATGTTAAAAACCAATAAAGTACACAAACTTGGTACCTTGTAAACCCCTCCAAACCCGCCTTCACCAATCTTGTTAACTACAGAGAACTTGTTCGTGGCTGCTTCAATTGTACTGAAATCATATTGCAGTGAATCCACATTGCCGATGTCAAATGCAGCTACACAACCAAATGTTGCGTGTGAATGATGAGATAAAGTGAAAATAGAAGAGCGAGCAAATATGAACCAAAAAGAGCAAAAGGTCTGGTATGCTGATACTATGGACATCCTTACATTTTCCTTCGGCAACAGAGTCGTACTTCTTCGTTGTTCGTTTCCTCAAGCAACAGATGCCGACTATAAATACTAGGACAGCCACAGAAGTTGGAACCACAATAGCAACAACCGCCCCCGATGAGATTCCACCTTTTCCTGAATCATCCCAAGAACAGAGAAAGGCAGGTATATTTAATATGGCAAATTCACGATAAATTCATGACAATAATTGAGCAACCAAATTTAATTCATTCATGTTCCTCAGTCAAGCTTTTCTCGTATTTCTTTTTTTCCACTTAGCTCTTTCTCCACAATTTTGAACCCTCCCCTGCTTTTATTTCACTCTCTGTTCAGTGGGTTTTCCCCCATGGTTTTGCTTTTAAACTCTCAATTTTCGCAAACTAATACCCAAATCACCAAACAGATTAGAAACTATAAAGATTCAAGGAAATACCCTCTGCATATAGGTGAGAGCTTTACCTTGGGAACCAGTATTTGCAGGAGGAACACTCGCAGCTTCCGATTGATAGAAAGGGTACGACTCATAACGAACATTACAGCTCGGGTACAGCACTCTTCCTCCTTGCTTTCCACCACAACACCACTTAAGTTCTCGAATCACACCACTCAGGCAACTTCTACAATCTGACGGCGAAAGTTCCGGCGTGCACTGTGCTAGACAATACGTAGTTTGAAACCCTGAGAAATTCGCTGTTCCGGTCGCATACTTCTTTTTCCCAACAGCAGGTTTAGCCGCCTCATCTGCCGTCTTGTTCATTATATCGTACAATGTTCTCATGAAGCTTGCCTGGTTTGAGACACTTCCGGCGTCGAAGAGGCTGAGTCTAGGCCTCGTGTCAACGGTGGAGAAGAAGAAACGGTTAGAATAGCGAAGCAAGCACTCGTCGTACCAGATTATTGCCTCCTTCGAAACTCGGCACTCGGAAGATAATCGTTGGGTAGCGTTAACGACGCACTGGTGGCACATCGAGAGGTTGACGTCACCCCGACACATAAAGAGGCCGTGGACCATGCCGCCGCCACCGACAACGGTGGCGTTGTAGAAGTCGGTGTTGGCGAAAGCTAAGGAAGAGAAGAGTGTCGTTCGGTCCGATTGAAAAGCACTGTTGGCAGCGAAGGTTATGTTGGGAGAGCAATTGTGGTGAAGATAAGTAACCTGTGCTTCATTTGCAGGAGAAAAGAGGACGCTAATAAGCAAGAAAGAGACAATTTTGAGAGAAGCGATGACCATGGACGAAGTTTGTGCGGTTCTTACGGTGTGTATCTCAATGGCTAAAAGGGGAGAATCATGAGGAAGACGATATTGCAGGGGCAGGGAGAGATGCAATCGTTGATGGAGAAGGTCGACGCAGGTCAACTAAATTTGGTTGGGAGGGGGGAAAAAAGGAAAAAGGGGGAAGAAGAAGGAGGAGGAGGAGAAAGAATTAACGATGAAGAGTTTAAGAAGTCAGTTGATATTCATAATATATGAGTTTAAATCCCGCTGTTAGTGTGAGGACCTTATTGGTGGACGATTTGTATCTATAAATATCTCTGTAAGAGCTTTTTTGAGTATAGAGGCATGTCTTGATCTGATGAATTCTTGAAAACTAACTCACCTAAATTTTTTTTTTCAAAAAAAAGAGTTAGGATCTAAGTCTTATAAAAAAAGAATAATTATAAAAAAAAAAATCTTTTTTTCATGATTGATTGATTCAAAGAATAACAACCGACAAGTTCCAAGTTTCAACGTAAAGAATATTAGAACTTATTTTATAATTATTTTTTATAAGATCTTACAATAATTCTTTTAAAAATTCACTTTTTTATATCATACACCACTTCCGTTTTTATTATAAGAATTTGTTTAATTTTTAATTAGTTTAAATATAAAACCTTAATAATATTTTATTTTATATTTATTTATTTTTTAAAATAGTTCTTGAAATAATTACACATATAAAATGTTTCATAGAATGGTAACTCTAGCTAATATACATGATTAGCAATGGTGTTTAAAAAAAATAACACATTTTTATAACAAATAACTAATTAAAGAGAATATCTATTTATAACAAATAACTAATTTAACTAATTTTCTTAATCTTTCCAAATTAGTCAATTAAGTCTTATAATAAGGACCGAAGGTAGTAACTCATTTACAAAAAATAAGTAATTAGTTAAAAATAATAAATAGATTATAATATATTTTTATTTTTAAATATGTTTTTATAATAAATAAAAAATAAAAAATACGTAAAAAAAATTGATAAGAGAGAGTATAACAAATAAGAGTGAATAAACAATAAAAAATAAAATTGGAAAAAAATGCATTAATATTAAAACAATTTAAATTGAAACTTATAAAATTGAACTATACTCTTTTAAATTTAAAACTTATATAAGACAAAAGGGAGTATATTTCATTAATAGTGTCTCTTTTATAATTTAAAATTTTTAAATCTATCTTCAATCATATAAATTGGAGATTTAATATGATGAGAAGTAAATAATAAATAATATTTGCTTGAATATTTTTACAATTAGAAAATAGAATTCTGAAATCATTTTAGAATAATTTTAATGGTTGTCAAAATTTAAAGTAAAACGTATACATTCAAAATAGGGAAAATATAAATAAGACAAAATAAAAAGTTAGTTTTTTCTTCTTATTATTTTTATTGGATGGATAATGATGTTCGTCTCTCTCAAATGGCGAGAACAACACGGAATTAAGGCCCGCAACGGAGGACGGGGACAGGTGGGCGTCCTTTTTACGATGAGTTCAATAACAGAAGCAAATCAATTTCGACTTCTCTGCTCTTTCTCATTTGTAGACCGGTGCCAGAGGAGGGCACAACACCGACACTCGCAAATTTTCATTGCTTTTCTTCTTCAAATTATCAATAACTTTTTTTTTTGATACCATATAAAATATTTTTATAACACTCGGAAAATCAAGTTGGAACTACAAAAATTAAGAACAACTTCAAAAGGAAAAAAAATCAATGGCAAACGTTTATATTTAAAGCTTTTATCTAGCAAGAGCGCCGACATGACAGGAAAAAAAAATATTTCTTAGAACCGGAGGTAATATTTCTCTAATTCTTAATATAAAATTTAATTAACTAATTTAAGTAGATTAAAAATATTAATTAAATTATTTAATATGATATTTTTTTAAACATCCTAAACATTTTTTAACTTTTTTTTCTTTCCTACTTGATTATTATTGATGAAATATCAATAAAATTAATCCAAGAAAAATTGATAATATATGAAAAGGTCTTATATTACAACTAACATTAACTCTCCAATCAGGTCCTATACTGAGGAGTGAGGAGGAGTATTATTTATATCAATCTTTGAATGTTATTTTTCTTGAGCAGGACACAGAACTGTGGAGTCGTGAGTCACCATCACCCGTGAGGTTCCTTGCTAGCCTTGAATTTGGATGGCTCCGATTGTCCCCGTCGCAGGATGATCCCCCTCTGTTGCACGATACATGGTGGAAAGTTCGTCTCCTTCTTCTTCTGCGCCCTGGATGGATCATGATGCTTTCATTTGTAATCTCTATTAAATCTTTCCTGAATGAAGCGAATAAACTAGGGGCATAGTGCTTCACATTGTTGGTTGTTTATTGTTGCTCATCTGTTGCAGAAATCCTTCTAAACGCATAGAAAAGCCGTTTTGCTGCTGCTAGCAAAACGACAAACTCAAACTTTTCCTTCTAGACGTTTGTGTTTGTGATGTTAATCAGTAAATGAGAACTTAAAACCAGCGACCAGATATACGTTGGACGGCATGTCACTATACTTCCTAACTTCCGAGTCTGCTACAACGCAAAATTGACACTTTCCAAGGCAAAATAATATTGGTGGATTCAACCCAAACTATTACAAAAGGAACATAAGAAGTCATCTAGAGACCTCATGGCTATATATAAATACAACGTTGCCTGAATCACCTGTAATTCACACTAAAAAAGAAGCAACGTTGCCTCATAGACCAACCACTTAGACAGAGGCACGTTTGCAAAAACCTCCAACTTTTAAGCTTACCGAGGTATCACTTCACTAACAGACATCTCATTCACTGACATTGGCGCTGACTTGGTCGTAGATTGACCAAACAGCAACTTTGGCATGTTTGGATCAGTTCCGCTATGGACGAAAAATGCAGGCTTTGAAGGGGTTGGCAGAGTCACAGAGTAACTATCAAGCATCAGAACTATGGATGACATTGAAGGTCTCTCAGCTGGATCTTCTTGAACACACAGCAGACCAATGTTGATGCATCTCATAACTTCATTTGGAGTGTAAGATTCTCTTATTGTGGGGTCCAACGGTTTCAGGGTTCTCCATCCTTCCAAAGTTTCCAGGCCTGTATCAAATGTCGTCAGCTATTTATTATAATGGGATCACAGTATTGTCCTTTTGAAAGAAAACAAATGATTCGTTTTGAATCAAACTAGAGAGGGTAGCGTTTGATATACATAGCTAAGTAGGTGCTCAGCACCCTCTATTTGATAGAAAGAACAGAGAAAAGCAAGTATATTTAACATGGTAAATTCGTGGCAATAATTGAGCAACCAAATTTACATCATTCATGTTCCTCACTCAATCTTTTCTCGTATTTGTTCTTCTAGTCCACTTAGCTTTTTCTCCACAATTTTGAACCCGCCCTGCTTTTATTCACTCGCTGTTCAGTGGGTTTTCCCCCACGGTTTGCTTTTAAACTTTCAATTTTCTCGCAAACTAATACCAAAATCACCAAGGTGAGAGCTTTACCTTCGGAACCAGTAGTATTTGTGGGGGGAACACTTGCAGCTTCCGACTGATAGAAAGGGCGCAACTCACAGCGAACATTACAGCTCGGGTACAGCACTCTTCCTCCTTGCTTCCCACTACAACACCCGTGAAGTTCCCCAATCACACCACTCAGGCAACTTCTGCAATCTGACGGCGAAAGGTCCGGCGTGCACTGTGCTAGAAATACACAGTTTGAAACGCTGAGAAATTCACTGTTCCGGTCGCATACTTCTTTTTCCCAACAGCAGGTTTAGCCGCCTCATCTGCCGTCTCGTTCATTGTATCATGCAATGTTCACATGAAGCTTGCCTGGTTTGAGACACTTCCGGTGTTCCCGAGGACGACTCTAGGCCTCGCGTCGACGGTGGAGAAGAAGGGACGGTTAGAATAGCGAAGCAAGCACTCGTCGTACCAGATTATTGCCTCCTTCAAAACTCCGCACTCGGAAGATAATCGTTGGGCTGCGTTGACAAGGCAGTGGTGCAACATCGAGAGGTTGACGTCACCTCGGCACATGAAGAGGCTATAGACGGTGTCGCCTCCACCGACAACGGTGGCATGGTGGAAGTCGGTGTTGGGGGTGTTTTTGGAAGAAAAGGAAGAGAGGAGTGTGGTGCGGTCGGATTGGAAGTCACTATTGGCAGCGAAGGTTTTTGGGAAGAGCAGTTGTGGTGAAGATAAGTACCTGCGTTTCAGTTGTAGGAGAAAACAGGAAGCGAATAAACAAGAGGAAGGAAATTTTGGAGGAAGGCGTAACCATGGACGACATGGTAAGCAAGGGTGAAGACTCTGTTTGATGGCAATGATTGATTGTATTGTGCATAGATATTTCTATGGCAAGTTCAGTTGCAGTTCTGGTTGATCATTGAGAAGCTCAATAAGCATTGGGAAGGGACTCAGGGAAGGTTTCGATATCTTCGTTTTTTTGGGGAGAAGACGATAACAAGAAGCTCCATAAGCTGAATTAGTCTACGTGTTTACATCTGCCGTCTTTGGAAACCAACGGGAAGAAGAATACAGCATCTCTTTGTCTATTTAAAAATATTTGTTTAAGTCTAAATTATTAACTGCGCCAAACAATATTTTAAAAAAAAATTTAATTAAAATTTATGTTGAAATATTTTTTTTCTTTATTAATTTACTCTTTATAGTATTATTTAGAAGAGTTTAATTTTTTTTCTTTACTTCAATTTTTTTATTTCTTATAAATAATTATTTCTTTAAAGTTTTTATTACAGTGGAACAGAAAATTAAGTAATTTAGTTTATATAACATAAAAAATTAAATGAAAAATTAATTATTGTTTAAATAAATATATTATTGATCAAATAACTTATAATGTTTGAAACAAAAGTTTTATTTAAAAATTTAAAATTATAAATTTAAATAATTTATATAATTCCCAAAATCACATAATATATATTATCTCATAAAAAATAAGCATAAAAATATTTCTTACCCATTTAAAAGAAATGTAAATAAATAAATTTTAAAATTTTTTTTTAAATTCCTGTATATAATTCATTTTTCTTAC